TGATAGGATGACACCTGTGCAACAAGTCCAGTCGTGAAATTTCCTCACTACTAAATATTCCATAGTCAACTGTAAGTGGTATTATAACAAAGTGGAAGCGATCGGGAACGCATAGTGCGCAGAGGTCACCAACTTTCTGCAGAGTCAATCGCTACAGACCTCCAAACTTCATGTGGCCTTCAGATCAGCTCAAGAACAGCATAGAGAGCTTCATGGAATGGGTTTCCATGGCCGAGCAGCTGCATCCAAGCCTTACATCACCAAGTGCAATGCAAAGCGTCGAATGCAGTGGTGTAAAGCACCGCCACTGGACTCTAGAGCAGTGGAGACGTGTTCTCTGGAGTGACCAATCATACTTCTCCGTCTGGCAATCCGATGGACGAGTCTGGGTTTGGCAGTTGCTTCCTGTTCCAACATGACTGCGCACCAGAGCACAAAGCAGCTCCATAAAGACATGGATGAGCGAGTTTGGTGTGGAAGAACTTGACTGGCCTGCACAGAGTCCTGACCTCAACCTGATAGAACACCTTTGGGATGAATTAGAGTGGAGACTGTGAGCCAGGCCTTCTCGTCCAACATCAGTGTCTGACCTCACAAATGCTCTTCTGGATGAATGGTCAAAAATTCCCATAAACACTCCTAACCCTTGTGGGAAGCCTTCCCAGAAGAGCTGAAGCTGTTATAGCTGCAAAGGGTGGGCCGACATCATATTAAAGCCTATGGATTAAGAATTGGATGTCACTCAAGTTCATATGCGTGTGAAGCCAGACGAGCGAATACTTTTGGCGATATAGTGTATAAGTGTGTGTAAGTGCCTGTGTGTCCTAATATATGCATCGTATTTATTAGCGTCCATAAGTAATATTTCACGTCATATATGTGAAGTGTACAGCAGTAACACACAATGTTCCAGATTATTCTGCACGTGCCGATTTTGTTTGTTTTTCATAAACACTCAGTATGTTTAAGATTTTTTTCTTATCCTCAACAATATCATAATGTGGATGTTAGTACAAGTGGAAGTACTGAATCTGGCAGTATTATTGATATTTTGACAAGAACCCTAATTATGATGCAGAATGCAGTTTTTAAGAACATTCAATAATGAAATTCATATCATTTCAAACAGAAGTCTGTCATATTTGCTGCCTGCACAGATCATTTTTCAGAAAATAAAAACAAGTTAAATCAAAAATGATATTTACCGATCAAGTTACATATGGATATATTCTTTGAGCGGACTTTAAGAACTCGCTCATCCGTTTAACTTAAGTCCTTATATAGTACCATATACTCTATATGGACTTATGTACTACCATACATTATTTATGGACATACATGTGGTCGGTCAGGAGCTCCACATATCTTTCAGAGGTCATTTTAACACCCTAAAGGGACCTGCCGTCTCTCAGTCCACTACTGCGGCCCAGATCATCACTCCGCCACCTCCTAGCTGATGTTGCAGTCTTGTTGAAGCAGAGTGGCCATTCACCAACGTCCAGAACTCCATCCATCTTGACCACACAGTGTAGCAGAGCGTTCATCAGTGAATAAAACTTGGTTCTAGAGACTCCAGAGACACCTGAGGGGCCCTGATAGGCTCTTTGTTTCATATTGTGTGATTTTGGGTCCTCAAGTTTCTTCTCCAGGTAAACTGGTTCTGGTTTGGATCAGCTGAGGTGGATCTGTGTGCGCGTGTGTGTGCGTGTGTGTTTCAGGCCCGTGTCCCCCGTGTCCGAAGATGGTGAGCGTGTCGTGTCTGTGTGGGAAAGCGGCTCCGGTTCCTCGGCGCTGCAGTAATAAAGGCTGGAACTGCGGTAAAACCTGCGGCCGCACGCTGCCCTGCAGGATCCACACCTGCACACACACCTGTCACGCAGGTAACACACTCCCCTCATACTGTACACACTCAGGTAGCAGCGCTTCTCTCTCAGGACTGCTTTAGGCACCTGAGAATATTAAAAAGCTGGTTATCTGAGCTTTAAGTGTTTCTTTCCTGAGGAAAGCCCTGAGAGAACTTTAACACAGTCAGCAGTGGGTTTCTGTGTGTCAGTGTGTTTAACCGTTTCCTGCCCTCTCCTCGAGGAAGATCAGTGTTACTATAGTTACCAGTCAATACCTGCTCTGTCTAATCAATACTTCATTATGGTGAATCAGGAGCTGCTGATGGAGGTTAGTAAATGTGGCTGGAACCAAACATGGTTCTTCAGACTAGCTCACAGGATAAGCACTGCATTATTCTGGAACAAAGACGTTTTTATATTTAATTCATTCATTTATAAATACATTTATTTATTTATTTATATATTTATTTATTCGCATTTATTCTAATGATACCTGGCTTCATGATCAGTTACATATACCTACATGACCAAGTCTCTCTCTCTCTCTCTCTCTCCCTCTCTCTCTCTCCCTCTCTCTCTCCCTCTCTCTCTCCCTCCCTCCCTCTCTCTCTCTCTCTCTCTCTCTCTCCCTCTCTCTCTCCCTCTCCCTCTCTCTC